TTTAGGGTTTAGGGTTTAGGATTATTTACGGGAGTATAGGGTTTAGGGTTTAGGGTTTAAGATTATTTACGAGAGTATAGGGTTTAGGGTTTAGGGTTTAAGATTACTTATGGGGTTACCCTTATACCCTCAAACGACTCCAAAGAGCCCTGAGGGGAACCCTATATCTTCTGAAAGCTCCTGGTTAAAGCCTGGTTTAAGGCTTTAGCCGCCTTTACGGCAAGAGTAGGAGGTCTCTACCGAAACTAGCCCTAAGCGCGCTACCCTAAACCCTAAACCGAGATACTAAAGCTACCTTAACCCTACCTGGACCCTCTATTTGCCCTCTATTGCCCTAACTGCCCATTATTTGGGACCATATACCCCAATTTGAGGATACAAGGAGGGTTCTGTTAATAAACCCCAAACCCTGAACCCTCAACCTTAACCGAGATATTCAATTTGCCATACCCGTCCAAGCAATGTCCAAGGCAGCCGAGGGCGATTTCCTTCATGTGGCGTCACTTCCCTTGGGCCCTCGTGGCTGGACTGGCTTCCCAGTGTCCCGCTGCATTTTCCCAGGAGGCCTAAGGGTTCAGGGTTTAGGGTTTAGCATTTTCCCAGGAGGCCCGGGAAAGAAGGGTTCCTTTAACGGCTCCTACAGCAGCTCCTGTAAGGGCTCCTACAAGGGTTCCTTTAAAGGCTCCTCTAAGGGTTCATACATTTTTACACACATACATACAAACATACATACACATACATACATCCAAACAGACACACATACACACAAACAAGCATGCGTAAGAATGCACATATACACATGCATTTACTACCTATGCACAAAATACATGTATAAAGATACATGTGCATATACGAAGTATTACATGTGTGTAGCCTTAAACCCTAAACCCTAAACGCCGATAGGTAGCCTGACTGGAAACGCTGAGACGAGGAACCTAAACCCAAACCCACGCGCCTTCATGGAACCCAAAAACACACAGTGTCCCATGTGCCTATACAGCAGAACCTAGGGTTAGCAGTACATAGGACCCTTTGGGAAAGGCACCGGAAGTGGAAGACCTCGCGCTGCTCACGACTCGTGCGAGAGCTGGGGACAGCCCGAGAATTCCTGCGATCGTGCATTTCAACTACAAGATCCTATGGCTGCCATAGTTTAGGGCTTGAGGATATCAACTGCAAGATCCTGTGGCTGCCATGTCTAGAGGTTTGATTCAGGGATCTCAAGCCCAAGATCCTGTGGAGCGGATTTTGCGGTTTAGGGTTTTGTCCAGGACTTTCTCAGGTGGGTAGTTACCGTTATAGGAGCCTTATAAAAGGTCTTATACCTTATAGAAGCCTTATAGAAGCCCTATATACCCTAAACTCCCCACCTGTAGTTCCCTTGAACCAAAACCCTAAACCCTAAACCCTAAACCCTAAGCCCCTAAAGCCCTAAACCCTAAACACAAATTATAGAAGGTCTATATACCCTAAACTCCCCACCTGTATCTTCCCTTTTAACTTAGGAGTGTGTCTACAAGATCCTGTTGATCAGGCTTTCGGGCTTGAGGGCTGCGGGTTTAGAGCGTATGGGCTCAGGGTTTAGGGTTTAAGGGTTTTAGGGATTAAGGGTTTAGGGTTTTAGGGTTTTCAGGTTTAGGGTTTAAGGGTGCAGGGTTCAAACTTTAGGGCTTAGAGTTTATGGGCTCCGGGTTAGGATTCCTACGGATTACAAGATCCTGTGGCTCACATGCACACGGTTTAGGATGGCTACGACAAGATCCTGATGCTGCAATTATAATAATGCTTGGCCCACGTATAGGGCTTCGGGCTTTAATTGCAAGATCCCTGACAAGCAAGGAATCGATAGTAGGACCCAGAAACTTGGCGCATTGCTCTCCTCTTGGTCTTAAGGTGAAGGATAGGGGCTCCTAATTACTGTGATATAAATCGTGCACTACCTTAAGGACCCTAAACTATGTGAATTATGGTGTGTTCGTTATTATGGGTAATGCAGGATTTATATCACCAATCGTACTACTCATACCAGACCCATGTTACACCCTTCTGGGGTTCGCTATACGGAGGGTTTAGGGGTTTAGGGTTTAGGGTTTAGGAGGGTTCAGCCTTTGGGGGTACCCCCCTCAACTGCGGCATATGACCCTTGGAGCAAGACGTAAAGTCGGAGCCGCCATGTATCCCCTAGAAAGGTTGGTCTAAGCCGCAAAACCCACACAAACCTCCCAACCTATGTCTGGCAATCGTAATCGTAGCCCGTATAGTTGGTAACTCTTCTTAAGTAACAACCCAAAAGCTCTAGAGACATCCTGCGCAGTCGCTCTACAGAGAGGATCCTTGTGTTAGAGAAGTCTACTTTGCTAAGCCGCCCCACCTTTCTGGGGTAGACGAGGGTCAACTTGCATATGGGTGGTTCTCGAAATTGGGGTCCCTTTTTGGGTCCCCAGACTAGTACGGCACCCTTATATATGAAAAGGATCCTAAACGGGAGGGACCCTATTTTAGAGATCTACCCGATATTGCAGAACCCTTCTAGCAACCCGAAAATAGCAAGCTGTATAGGAACTCCTCAGCATAGCCCCAATAGTATCCCTAACTCCGAAGCCCCTCCGAAATCTAAACCCTAAACCCTAAAAGCCCTAAAGCCTAAACCCTAAACCCCTAAATCCGACACCCCTCCGAAACCTTCAAACCCGAAGATCAAACTCAGGATCGATTTGCACATTGACGATGACAGTTTTGACTTCGGGGATGTGTCGAAAGACGACAAAGACTTGCTCCAGGCTCCTGCGTTTTAGGCTTTTCTTGGGCGAATGAAAGGGCTTAGGGTTTAGAGTTTCGGGCGTCGGGCTTACAGTTTTTCAGGTGATTATTCGGGAGTTAACGGCGGCGTGCAGGGTTTGTACTGGCGTGTTTAGAGGGTGTCGCAAGTGTTTTTCTAAAGGGTTTGACAGTGCTTTCACTCTTAAACCGCAAAGCCCCAAACGCAAAAAGTCCGTCTAACGTAGATATAGAAAATAGAGAAAACCAAAAACCCTATAAAGCCCTATATATATATATCCTAAAGCCCAGCTCTTTCTGACCCGGGGCTCCTTGGAAGGTGCTGAAGAAGAATTGCAAGCACACAGTGGACACCTTCGGTGGCGACGTAGACAAGGTGTACTTCTACGGCGACCGAGACTGCACAGACGAGCTCCGGAAACTGGACGACTTCGATGGCGATAAGTTGCCGGGCGAGACTTTTGCATAATCTTGAATTGCCTCTTTGACCTTCTTGTAAAAGTGTGCCTTTTCATGGATACCCTTCGGGGGCGCCTGAAGAACAACCCAGGTTAGCGGACGGCTTCGGACGCTTCCAAAATGGTCGTTTTAAGTCCGATTTGTGTCGTCTGGCGCAGCTGTACAAGTACGGAGGCTACTACTTCGACACGGACATCCTTCCTGCGCCTCAGTAGGTTTAGGGTTTTTTTTGGAGGTTTTTATGAATTTTTAGGGTTTTTAGGGCTTTTAGGGTTTATAGGGCTTTTAGGGGTTTAGGGTTTAGGGTTTAGGGTCTATAGGGTTTAGGGGGCAGACATGAAAGCTGTTGTCTTCATGAAAATTCCTGCCATCATCCCCTGCCTTGAGAAACCTCAACCTGTTGGTTCATATCCCACAGCCCCGTTTAGGGTTTAGGGTTTAGGGTTTAGGGTTTTGGGGTTTAGGGTTTAGGGTTTAGTCAACAGAATACGGTTGATGGTATTCCTCCTGCATTAACCCATAATAGGGAATATACCATAATTCCCATAGCTTAGGGTCCTTAAAGGTAATGCAGGATTTAGATCACCAACAGTACTATAGCCTAAATGACTAGTATTACTCGTTCCTCGGCTGCAGGCCCCAGCAGTAGAGATCTGAGCCATCTCTGATCATTTAGCCCGTTGTAGTCCCTCTTGAAATCCAAAGCTCTTGCCGCTAACAGGCAAGGCAAAGGCCCTTTAACATAGGAAACTTGATTAGAATACCGCTTGCTTAAAGTCGAAGGGGCTTCTAGAAGTGTTCTACATGGGTGTCTAAACGGGTTTAGAGTAATGATGTAGAAGCCTCAACAGTACTTCCCAGCACCATGCCATAGGGTTCCTATCATAGATACAGTACAAACGCACCCCAATACCTCCTTGCTTTTTTCAAGGCCCCTACAGCACCGGACGTTATAGGTCCGTATGGAAAGAGCCGTGAAACCGTCAGGGACACACACTCACCCCAAGCACCAACCAACGTTCAATGAATATAAGCCCTAAGCCCTAAATGCCCCAAGCCCCAAACCCCNNACCCTAAACCCTGAGCCCTAAACGCCCCTAACCGCCCTAACCCCTATAAAACTAAACCTTCATCCCTGCTCCCAAAGCCTAAGCCTTCGATCCCCCTCTAGGGACCTCCTGTAGCCAGCCTTCGAAGCTTCATTGGAGCCCTCTGTCATCGGAACCCTCACAGAGCACCTCAAACCCCAAACCCTAAGCCC